TAAACGCGAAGGTGACCAGCGAGAGAAAGAAAATAATGATCTAGAAGACTAGAAACAAAAAAAAAAGAAAAAAAAAATTTCTCTTTTCTGCAACAGCTGGATAAATGAACTGTCACTATGTTCAATTTGACACAGCGGAAAAAAGAAATGGACATGTCACCAATTAGATTACGAGATACCTTAGACATGCTAAAATTATATAAATAATGAACATGGGAACGGAAAAAGACATTCTTGATGCATAAAATAACGAAAATTCGAATGTATTTGATTTTATTTTTATTTTACATATACTTAAAGAAACAGAACAAGGTCATTCTTTCTTCATCCTTTTATATATTTATATGAACATAGATAGAAATTCTTCTTCACTATCATCTATTTTACTTACATATACTTGAATAATTATCTTCTTCTCATCATGTTAAGATCAATAAAGACGATAGATCCACATGCATGAACGCATGCATCTTCTACTAAAATGGCATCTTCCCAATAATAAACGAGTACCAAAAAAAAAAAAAAAAAAGAAGAAAGAAATAGAACGAGAAGATAAGAAAAAAGAAAAAAGTACTAACAACATATAATAATAATAAGAACAGAAATAACTCTTTTGGGAATTAATAATGTGACAAGGATATTCACTCTATTTTCTAATAAACTATAAAACAATTCAAGAAGAATTCAGTATACGAAGACTAATTAGATACTCAGTTGGTGTCTGTCTGACATATTCTAAACAAAATGTTCAAATAAACAAAGAATCTCAACATGTTACAAAGATAAAAAAAAAAAAGAACATGACTGACTCAAACTCACTAGTCCGATTTAGATATTCATCCGTTGAAGACAACAGTAACCAACCAAGAGTACAAGAAAGATCGAGATTATATAATCATACAAAGAGAAGCGTGGTGATGACGTGCGTATACACTTCTTCTATATAGAGAGATGAGAGGAGGTCAGAAGACGTTCGCTCGTACAAAAAAAAAAAAAAAAGAAAGAAAATGAGCAGTAACATACACGCACGCGCGAAGCCCGTGAGAGTACACACACACACAAACGCAATCATAAAGAATAGAAAAAGAAGAGAAAATTGATTTCTTTTAAAAGTTGAACTACATACAAAAAGAAAAGTAATTAGACGAGCTATTCACTCATGTCTGAAATCAATTCTTAGCTGTAATGATGTGAAAACTTTTTATTTATCTTGTCCTTTAAAAGTTAATGAATATTATATTCTCGATTAATATGTAACATTTATTTATTTTTTCCTTCTTATATCAAGACCTATCTAACAGCATTCAATCTATTATAGTTTAACTTCTGTTCAATGAAAGTAAATGTATAAAAATATATGCAAATCTTACATTACATTATCGATCTATATGTATTAGATTTATAGTTGTTTGTTTTTTATTTTTTGTTAGTGACCAAATTTCTTTCTTTTTTTTTTTTTTTGTGTCTATCCAACTAATTTCATCGACATATAATTTGAACTCATCATTTACTACAGTAACAAGGCGTGAAGAGAAGAACAAAAAAACGAGGTTGATAACGGTCAAAGTGTATCTTACTTTAAATATAAACTGTAGATTGTCATTTAATAGATGAAAGGGAGAAAGAGAGACAATGAATGAGTAGATGATCTTTATATTCAATGTTCGATTAACATAAAACTAACACAGTTCGATGAAGTATATCAAAAAATAACAACAACAACTGAGGTGACGATTAGAATGATTGAAGAAATAAAAAGAACGATCTAGACATATGAGAGAAATAGGGAGGCGAAAAGCAAAACGATGGTGATGATGGCTAGACTCTCAAGTAGTGTTGAATAAGAGAATAGAATAGTGTTGACGGTGCCCACTCAAATGACCCCGAGAGCTACTCATCCTAATGGACGACCACCTACTATTCATCAATACATACGTCTAGTGTTTCCTGTTCTTTCGTGCAGCACGAGAGTTAGTCTACTTAATGTTTAAAGAGAGAGAGTGAGTGAAAGAAAATCTCGCATGTTCTGCCTTTCACCTGTATGTACAGACTAACTAAGAGAGAAAATGAAAGACGAAAGGATTATAGAATAGATTGAAGTGATCCAACTCGTTTCTTTTTCTTTTTTTTTTTTGCGTGTTAATCTTAAGGGAATGACTTATATTGTTTGTAAGGTATAAAAATGAATGCTGTCATAAAGTTAGGTTTTTTTTCTTCATCATTCGACAGGTAACAATGAACGAAGAAAAAAAAATAAAGAACTCATCTAATCCATAAATACGTACTTCAACAATTTCTCTCTTATTGTGACAACTTATGTAGCTTAAAAATTGAAAATCACAAGAGTCACTTAATTTTGAAGTGGAAGAATTAGATTTCACACATAATCAACATTCTATTTGATAATTGTTCTTAAATCCGAAAATCAAGAAAAGGAATCAATCAATATATATATATATATATCAAAGTCAATCTACAGTAAATAAATTTTGTTAACGACTATTTCTGTTCCTTCCTTTTCTTTTTTTCATTATCAATAAATCTCAATTAGTTAACCTTAGAATCGAACATCATTGTGATAATATCGCCGTACAACAGCTGTGTTTTTTTTCCTTTCATGTAATTTTTATTATATCTTTTTGTAGTTATATTTTACTATCGCTAACAAGGACATTATTAATCATATAGCTATACGAGTGATGACGATAGATTATTATCAATGATTCTGTTGGTATTGTAAAAATACATGAAAGGCATAAACAACTGTCCATTGTCTATAATGCTATTGGCAATAAAGACACGTCTCTACTAGTCTTTTCTTCTTTTTTTTTTAATAATGTCGATAGATGCATTAAACGCCTTGCAGGCATCTTACTTTAAATAAACGTTGAATTTCCTGTATGAATACATTATATGATTTTGACAGACGAGATGACTCGTTCTCTTGTACATTATTACTCGCTCTTGTGTAATCATTGAAATATATTAGAAACAATTAAAAAGAAAAAAATTTGTTTAAAAGTTGCTTACAATATTTATTATTATCTTTGAATATTGAAATTTTTTTTTTTTTCTTGTAGACAAAAGAGAGAAATATTTCTATGATTGTGTTATGAATAGACAAAAAGAAAATAATCGATATTATTAAAGTGATGGATTAGGCGTTCTTTTTTTTTCATGTGTGAAGTATTGACATAAGAGATCTTTATCTAAGAGGGATAATGAACTAAGAGAGTTTATTATAAATATTGAAATTTTCAACAAAAATCTAATAAAATTATTAAAAGCTATTTGATATTTTTGAATTCATAGTTATACAAAATAGTTTAATATATTCAAAAGAATGTATAAATATTGTCTACAAAAAAAATAAAATAACTCAGTGAACATTCATCATAAAACTAATAATGTCTATTGAACTTATCTTTATAATATATCAAACGTTTTTTCAAAAAAAAAAAAGAAAAAAAGAAACATTTTCTTTCAAATTTATCTTTCTATTCATCAAAATGAACTTAAAGATGAACCATAACGATATGTTTTATTTAACAAAAATGACAACGATTGGATATAGTTTTTAACATTTCATCTATCAATTTATATCATCCATATCTGATGATGATTCAACGACAGTTATATCAACATTATGATCATCATATCGAGATGATATATTATTTCGACTAGTTGTTGATCGACTTGTTGTTTTTAATGGTTTTAATGAACGTTGAAAATCATCAATTTTATCAAGAAGACCTGGATTACGACGACAAAGAAGGCGTACATCATCGACATTAATTGTCGTTCGTTTACCATGTCTAAATAAATGAATATCTTAATTAAAAAGATGAAACTATTTTACTTTGAAAATACATCAAGATCTTGACAAAATGTTTCTATTTGTTGAAATGTTATATCACCAATAGCATTTACAACTTGTTTATCTACAGTAACATTTGATTGTATTTGTAATTGTTCACAAATTTTACCACATGCTGCATGAAGTGCTACTTTTAATCTCTAAAGAAAAACAAAAATTAAATATTTAAAAATTCTTATTAAATGATCTATTCCAAAACAAATATTCTTTTTTTCCCTATCTTACAATCTAGTTAAGAAAAATTTTCTAATCCTTATCCCATGCTTAACTTTATCCTACAAAGTTTTTATATCTCCCTCTCCCTTAATCCTATCCTAATGGGAAGACTCTAAAAATGATAAATATATTCATGTTACAAATGTGTAGGATAACTCGTGCACATCTTCATCATAATTTGTGTAAATTTTCAAAGAATGAAAAATATTTTAGACTTATACGAAAATGTTTGTAATGAATACAAATAAGTCAAAATCCATTGATTTGAGTTTTTTTTTTCTTCACGAAAATTTGAAATGTATTGACTATACATGTGAAAATATTTTTTCAGATATTAAACTTAAAATAGATCTGTTAAATTCTTATTTTATTAAACAAAAGATAATTTTTATGAAATTTGAAAACGCACCGAGCCAGGATCTTGTAAGAGTCGTTCATCATCTAAATCAGCCATAATCTAAAAATGTTATACATTTCATAAACTTACCTACAAAACAATTCGACAAAGAAAACAAAACAAATCAAAATATAATCATTTTCATTTTATCTCTCTCTGTCTGTCCGAATTTTAGGTTTTTTTTTTTTTTAATAAATATTAATAATAGAATAAAGAATCGTTAATGAAAACCAACAACATCAGACAACAAAGAAAAAACAAAACAAAACAAATGACTCAATAAACAGGTTTTCAACGATTATAACTAGGTAATAAAAGTGATGTATAATCAGACAAAAAAACTGTATACACTTTTAAAAAGCTCATAGGAAACCGCACATATTATCAATGGGTTTTTAACAAAAAAAAACCATACGTTCGAAAATGACAAGAGAGATAAAAGATATAAAATATATACACATAGTGAAAATAAGAGATAAATTTTATAATGTCTTCTTTTTTTCTTTTCTTTTATATTGGTACTTGATCAATATCATCTCGTTGTTCAGGTCGATTATTAACCATAAAACCAAGTTGTTTACCATCGATTTTTTGACCTTTCATTTTTTTTGCTTTTTTCTTTTGTCCATTACTTGATGCTAATTGAAAACCTTCATCACCACCACTATAACTATTATCATTAGAAGATGTTGGTGCCATAACTAATTCATTTAAACGTTCATTATCCAAATCAGGCTAAATTTGAAAAAAAAAACAAAAAAAAAATTGTTTTTTTTTTATTGTTTTATAAAAATATTCATCAACCTCAGCATTAGCTAATTGATTTCGTTTTAAAAGAAAATCATTGGCAAATTCTTTAGCTTTACTAACTGTTCCTATATATGGTTGTACATATTCAACAATTTCACCAGCATTATCAATATCTTTTAATAATTGAACAAGTGTTGGCACTTGAATAATGAAGAAAAGTATTTTAGAAAAAAAAAGAATTTGTTTTTTTTTTTTTATCTACCATCAACATCTTTTAAACTATCTTTAAATTGAGTTTGAGTCCATTTTGATAGAACATCTTGTGTACGTGTTGTGTTAAATATAGATTTTGCTTCATGTTCATTTTTTATTGTTTCATCATTAGGTAGATTTATATTTCCAGATGGTATTGTTGTTGACGGTGGTGATGATGTGGATTTTAATTCAGTCCATGGGGTTCTATATTTAATTTAAAAAGCAATACAATCAAATTCATATATAAAGGTGACCCATAAATAACTAGGCAATAAAATCATTTAATATATCCAATCTGCTTTAATCAACCGGACTGATCTTTTTTTTTCAACGATAGAGAACTTTTTCAAAGCTTTTATCTGTAAGGAAATTGGAAATTGACACTGTTTTGAATTACACCACTGACCGAAGGTACTCTCCTGTCGACAGCTGTAAGTCCACAAAAACGCGTAATCGGGCCCGACAAAAAAAAATAGAATTTTGAACCCGGGCTCGGAGGGACCCGCAGCATCCTACTTCCCTATGATCTCAGCTGTTGTTAAGGTTACACATCTAAAAATTTTTAGTATATGTGCTGCTTTAGAAATGTAAATTAACGAAACCAGCCTGATTTCGATTGCTTGAGTTATGATAGCTTGTCTCATAATGAGTTCTATAATTTAATGAGGGAAGGCAAAGAATCAATAAGTTGCTTTTAAAATTTTAGTGAGGCAAATTTATAGAGCTTGTTTAGTTATTGGTTGATATAATAGTCATTCGGACTAATATTGCATTCAAGAGTAAATGTATGGTAATCAAAGGTTGCATTAGCCTATATACAAAAGCTCTGAGCACTGTAAGTTTGAGGAAAACACCCATAAACCTCATCTACACTCCGTCCCACATACCTATACCATCACTCCCACTCCACACCCAATCTCTACAAATTGACATCAGTAAAATATTACAACTCCTCTTCACCTCAAGCGAACGAGATCAGACTCATCTCACTGACCTATATTTCTAAGGTAAAATATACGCTAAAAATTTAGGACTTCCGCTCTTTGTCCATTATTGCCGAAAGTCCTAACGATGAACTTCTGGGTATCCCAAACATTTCACATGTCTAACCCTAAGAATGGCTGAGATACTTTTGATCAATAGTGCTAGTCCTCTCACGCAGCATCTATTTGACAGTTTCCTTATAAAAAAAAAAATATTAATCCGATTGATTATAGCAAACTTGAGAGATTGAAGTTTTTTTTTTATTGTCTAATTATTTATGGACCACCTTGTAAAAATCTAAGATGATTATTGATGAAAATCAGTAAAGTTGAATTTTTGTTTTTTAATTCGAAAAATTTCCAATTTCATAGCCATTTTAACTAAAGAAATAGGGGCCATACTCCATTGATAAACAGCATCTACTGATCACACTACAATATTTAATATTAATCGGTTTTTTCTGATTGTCTGTAATAGAAAAAAAATATCGAGTTTACAATCATAAATATCAAGAAAAGAATTAAAGTATTAACTTATTCAAAATAATATGTTAATCAATCTTTATTTGAAATAGTATTAATAAAATCCTTGATACAACTCTAATTCAAACGGTTCGAAGAGTTTTATCAAAACTTAGAATATTTTATTTACATAAATTAATCAAGACAGAGTTCATTATATATTTATATATATATAATTCAATATCTTGTCTATTAAATTATGTCATAATATTGAAATGCAAAAACAAAAATAATAATAATAACAACAACATCTGTTGCATTAATAAACTTGATACTTCTACAGAATAGTTGATACATACGATGGTTTATTGGTATTTGTTGTTATAGGTTTATTTGATGATGAAGAATTTTGATTAGCCCATAAGAATGCTGATGATGATTGTTGAGATGGAATATTACCAGTCCATACAGGTGGTGTTGTTGTTGATGTAATATGATGTGATTGTTGTTGTATGGGTTCGTTCTAGAATGAATCAAAAATAAGACAATATCATCTATAAAAATGTTTTTCTTACTTGTGTTTGTTGTTGTTGTCTTTGAATATCTTGAAGTGATGTATTAGATACGTTACTAGGTCCATTCCATGATATTGATTGTTGATTAGTTGCCGATCGAGATTTAGGCTATAAACAAAAAAAAAAACGTTATATAAATACACTTCACAAAAAAAACAAATATTTTTCTTTATTCTAATATACATATTATAGATTAATACGTTAGATAAGCAAAACATGAATTAATCACAATACAACATACATGAATATTTAAAAGAGATAGTACCGCATTTGTTGCCTGTTGATTATAAGATGCTATAGATGATGCATCAGTTAATGTATTCTCATTTGTATTATGATCCGACAATATATGACTTGATGTCGATGGAACATTACTATTACCACTATTGCTACCGGCAAATAATGTTTGAGCCCATGAACCCGATTTATTGGTCGATGATAATGAAGCGGAATTTTGTATAGGTAAAGTCTGAGATTTACCCTAATTAAATAGAAATTAATTAGGAAAAACAAAGTTATAAATAAACTTCGAATCAAACAAAATTGTTTGAAAACAGTAAATTTTTATTTTTTTAAATGTAAAAATTGAATCTGTTCTTTTTTGTTTTTTGGTAAACATAGTTTGATTCAACTATTTATTTATATCTTTCACAAATGAATGAAAACTCAAAACAAGTATATCTTGCAAACGAAATATGACGTCTTAATGTTTCGGCTAAACTGGGTGTGACAACTATGTACCTTATCGCCGAAACGGTATAGAGAGATACTGCAGATATCCTCTCGGAATATCATCGATAACTTCGATAAAATATATATGGATCCTCACGGCTTCCAATAACTTCTCCGACTGTAGCCTGCCGCTTAAGATCATATTGGACCTATAAGGATGTCTCGGAGAGACTAGAAAAAATACTTAAGAGGCTCATATCCCATAGGCCTTTGAAGTGAAGTTATGACCGTTTTACTGAATTTTCAGTATTTACTGGAAAATCCGATGAAAGAATTTCGACTTGGAATTTTATCCATAGATAGATCTAATGATCATTAGAATATTCTGAAAGTGTCAACAGCAAAAATAAATAGAATGTTCCTTTGTTAAAGTATTGAATTTTCATGTAAACTCGATTTTTGTTGCAAATGACTGCTTTATTCAAATTCAATATCCTAACAAAGGAATATTCTTTTCGGCTGAAATTCCATTATTTGACTATACTAAAAATTCAGTAAAACGACCATAATTCATCTCCAAAGGCCTACAGACACGAATACTTTTTCTAATCGTATTAAGGCCTTCCTATGGATCCATTATAGCTACAAATGATAAGTTACATTACATTCTTTCAAATCTCACTATAAGACTTCATTATTAGTAGTCATCACAAGAAATTTATTTAGGTGTCCTCAATTGAAAACTTTTTTCTTTTCTTTATACTATGTTTATGTTAGTTCGATAACGAAAAAAGAACAAAGTATCGAATTGGAGTATAATTTTTAATTTAAAAAACAAAATATCATAAAATGGTATAGACATAGTCATTAAAAATAAATATCAAATTTTTTTTTGCTTTAGCTTTTGACATACGTATTGATGAGCAAAAGCAGCTGCTTCTCTCGAACGTCTTTCCTCTTCTTGTTTTTGAATATCAACAAAATTAAATGTTTGTGTTAAATCATTAGTCTGAGATGGATGTCGAGTCCAATTTGTTGTTTCAGATAATTTATATATTGGTTGTTGTTGTTGTTGAGGTTGTTCACGATATTTTTCTTGATATCGACGAATATTTTCCGCTCTATGAAAATTAAAAAAAAAAATTCAATATATATATATAAGTAATTGAATTAATTACTGTTGTGCTTCAATTTTAGCTTGTTGTTCTTTTTGATATTGTATTGATTGTTGAAGTACTAAAAATGGATCTATATCTATAGTTGATGATTTTTTATTATCAACTGGTTTTGTTAATTGTTCAAAAATCATTTGCCTATTATTATTATTATTTAATTCTTGTTTTTTACGTAATTCTTGTTGTTCATATTGACGTCGTTCATCTTCATCACGTTGTAAACGTATTTGTTCAGCTTGTTGAAATAATTTTAAACGTTCAAATTCTAATTCACGTCTTTGGTGTTGTTGATCAAATTTTTCTTGTTGTTGTTTACCATGTGTTTGCATAGCTTGTGATAAACGTGAAATTATATTATCATTTGATTGTTGTTGTTGTTGAGATATGGATATATTTGAAGGAAAATATGATGAATTATTTGTTGATGTTGTTTGTGATGGTAGATGACGAAATGAACGTTGCATATCATCATATAACATTGAATTTGATTGTTGTTGTTGATTTACTGATGACAAACTTCGTTGTAATTGTTGTTGATAAATTATTGCTGGATCATTAACTAAATTTGATGAAAAAAGAGATGATGATGATGATGATGATGGTTGTTGTTGTTGTTGGGAATTAAAATATGCTTGTAATTGAGATGATATATTCGATGAAGATGATACGGGTTTTCGATCATTTGTCGATACGGGCATAGATGTTTGTCTAAAGATAATAAAAACAAAAATAATCTTTAATTTTGAAAATGCGATTGTTTTGTATAATTGAGGAGATTGTTCTTTTTTTAGAGTGAAAATTAGTAAACATCAAGGTAATTCAATAAACTCATTTGTTTATAAGAGAATTAGATTTTCAAAACAATTTAGGAATTAAGTTAAATATATAATATTATCGTGAAATCCTTAATTCATTAAGAGACTCTATTTAGAAAATTCAATTTGTCGAAAAAATATCAAAGTTGCATTTTTGTCATAGGAAGATGCACTGAAACTTCCTCTTTCAGAATATGTATGAATTTTTCTGCAATTTTCTGTTTTGGAAAAACTGCATAGAACATTTATGACAGATGGCGTTAGCTGTCTTCATCTATTACGTGCTTTAAAATAGTCCACTGAAATCTATTAAAAAATCCATTTCTAAATCGTTTTTAGCGTTTTTTTTTACAAACAGGAAAATTGGAATAACTCCCATCTGTACATCTTATAATGACCAAGTTATAACGATTCTCTTGGAAGTTACATAAACAAACTGGAGGCTCGGTCTAGTAGGGGACATGTCGATCTGGAATTTTTACCATAAATATTTCTTACTAGAATCACTCATTCCTGTAAATTTCAGCCCTAACAATCTGTTCTAAGTGGTAAATCGATTCTAAGGAGGACTTCTTAAAAGACATACTATTACTATAGGTGTAAGTACATTTGAATCTGCATAATGTACATAGTCTCTACTCAAAAGTAACGTATCAATTAGAAGAATACCCTTGTAAGCTATCGAATTTTTGATATATCTATTTTCTGGACATCCCAGCTTGTCGGAAAACTTGTATTTTGATCTAAAACTTTACACAGATAGAGAACTCAATTAGATTAACTTCCATAAAAAAATTCATAATTTTTCAATAAAGTCTTTTCGATACATTATTCATAAAAAAGAGTCTATGTCTTGAACGTCTCATATTTCGAAGAGATGTTGTTCAAAACTTGTGATGTTTTTTTTATGAAAGTTAGTATATGCACAAAGTTTTAGATCGAAATTCGAAAATACGAATTTTCCGAAAATCTTGAGCTTCGAGAAAAAATTTTCAAAAGTTTAGTTAACTCGAATCCTTTTAGAGTTTCTATTAAAACACTATCCATGGGCAAAAAAAAAATCAGTAGTACAAGAATTCAATATCAGGCCGATCTTCTGTCCGAAAATATTAAGCTATTGAATACTCCATACTGCAAAGTAGTTGAATAGCTGGAGTATTGTTCTTTTCTTCCTTATTCAAATTAATACTTTTTCAATAATATTTCTTTTTTCTTAAGATAATAAAGCTCGATCTTGTTTTGTCTATCGGGAAAAAAACATTTCTCATGAAGTATTGAATAATAAACCAATTAACTTCAAATAATATATACAATAGAGTTGAAATATGAAAAAACAAAAACTACAAATTGAACTGTCATGTTCACTAAGCTCCCTACACAATAGAATACCCTAGATCTTCTATTATGTCAATGTAAACTTAGTGCATAATAATTTTTATTAATCTTCTTGAAATATATTTAAAGTAAACTATAATGATTAATATATCAGATTGAAGGATTTTGTTTTTTTTTTCTTTTTTTTGTCTTAATTAAATATCATGACAAGCATTAGCTCATGTCAATAGCAACTTCTTTTTTTTTTTTGTAAAATAAAATCTTTACAGAAATAATGAAGCTTATTTATCGATAATAAAACTTAATCAAATAAAAATACCTATTGAACAATAATGGATGTTGTATATTTTGTCTTGATTGTGGTTGTTGCATTGAATAATCATCAATAAAAGTATTATTTACTGTTGTATATGCTAGTGGATTAAATTTTTGTGATTCCGATACAATCGATTGTTGTTGTTGTTGTTGTTTTTGTACAGGTGTCGATGGATGTGATGAAACATCAGTACGAAATGGTAAACGACCTAATTCTTTTGTTAATTGTTGTATAGTTGAAAATTGTGTTTCACCCAAACGTTTAACAGGTAAAAGAATAGTAAAATAACCAGCTGCAAACCAACGTTCCATATCAGCAGATGAAAAAGGACCTTGTATTGTATTTTGTGGATCTTTATAAAACCATTGTTTATCATCAATAATAACTTGTGTTCGTTGTTGTTGTGGAATATTAGGTATAGTATGTGATGATGTTGGTTCTAGAGAAATAAGACGTGATGTTGGATAAGTTGATATTGGTGGTGAATAATCATGATCCTTGAACAAAAAAAAAAAATTTTTTTTTATTTCATACGAAAAATTTATTTATTTTCCATACTTCAGCAAGAGTTGATTCAACTACAGTTGTTGCAACATCACTTTGATCAAAATCATCATCCCATGATGGAAGATATTGTTGTACAGGAGGTGTTGGTTGAGATACTAGAATTTGTAAAGATTAGAAAATTTCAATGAAAGAACAAAAAAAATAATTTACTAATAGGTTCAGATACAGTTGGAACATTAATAATATTTGATTTTTCAGATGGAATTTCTTCTTTTTGTCGTAATGAATCCTTTAAATCGAAAAGAAAAAAAAATTTTTTTTTTTATTTTTTTGAATTAAAATCAAAAAATTATATTTACAACTAATGATTCATCAGATGCTGATTGTGATTGTTCATTACTATTATTTTGTCGAACTGTTGATGATCTAGTAAATGTTCCATCTTGTTCAAATGTTGCATTACTTAAATGATTATCATCATCATCATTATTATCATCCATCCATTCCGGCATACCTAAATCAATGAAAGTAGTAACTAATGACTCTGAATGATAATTATCAATAAAAAAAAATCTTACGATCTCGTTTTGATTGTGGACGACGTGAATTAAGATCACGATCAGATATAGATGAATTTGTTCGCCATCCACCACTACGTGATTCATAATTATTTGATGGACCTTAATAAAAGAAAAAATTTTAAAAGAAAAAAAAAACTAAATCTATATTTTAATACCAGATCGATCATCATTAGAATTCCATTTCTCATTGGATTTTGTACGTTGTTCCATTGATCCACCACCACCACGTCTTGTTTGTCCACCTCGTGATGTCCATGATGTTGAACTATTGATTGGTGTTGATGAATCTTCATTTTGTTGATTATTATTATCATCAACATCATCACCTCGTGATCGACGCCAACCATCTGATGTTTGACGTGAAGTACCACGACGAAATGTTTGGGATTGTTCACTAGATAAATTTAAAAACAATTAAAAATTTCTTATAAGAAGAAAATTAAACTAGTGAAAAATTTTTACAACTTTTTTTCTTTATATTTCCTATCGATAAGGCTAGAGTAATCGTGTCCTGGAGTTTAAAACTTTCGGATCTGACCTGAACTCATTAATATAAAATTGTTAGATCCGAGTCCGGAATACTCTAATCATGAAAAACTTCTTGTTAACATACCGATCATCGTAAGATCGTACTCGATTTCCAAATGATCCACCACGTGAATGATAATTACTACGAGACCATGATGATGATGATGTTTCATCAGCAGTATTTCCATTTTCAATGTTATCATCAGAATTATTATTAGTACGATTTGATCCATATGTATGATCACGTCCACCTCGACCTCTTGAACCACCTCGTCCATTTGATATTGAACCAGTTGGACGAGTATTTCGTGAATCTTGTTGTGATTGTTGAGAATTTCGACCAGCACCACCTGGTGTTCGACCTGATATATAACTTGATAATGCATTCATTTTAGCCTAAATTATAAAATATTTTTAATTTATTATTATTTTTTTTTTCTTCTTTGAAAAATTTACAGTTTCTTCTGAAGTTGGTGCAGTTAATGATAATGGTTCCATTATATTTGGTCGAAAAACACTTTCAACATCTTTTAAATTTTCCATAATTTCATTTTTTATAGTTTCATTTAAACGTTCAGAAACATTAACACGTAATGCTAAAATTTCATCTTTTGAATAACGATATTTTGTTGTTGAAAATTTAAATACATTTCCACTACCACTACCAGCTGATGATGGAATTGGTGTTGCTGAATCCGGTGTTGATAATGCTCGCAGCCTATTTATGTAAAAAAAAAAAATTTTTTTTTCTAAATAGATATTTTATTTTTTTTTTGTTTCACAAACCATTCAGGTCCAAAATTTAATGGTTGTGTAGCATGTTGAGCGACAGTAGATGAAGTCATTTTTTCTTTTTTTTTTTGATTTTTAAAAACAAACAAAAAACAAAATAAAATATGCAATTTATAATCGATTAGTCGTAAGAGATATCTTAAATTAAGATAAATATAGAAAATAAACAAATCAATAAAGAAATTATATTTATTATAAACAAATAAATAATTAAAACAAAAAAAAAAAAACTAAAATTTTTAATAGAATTTATCTCAAAAAAAAAATAATAATTAGGCTTTTGTTTTTTTTTTTTTTCTTTATCTTAGGTCTTTTTATTTTCCTTGTCACTTATTTTATTTACTATATTTAAAATAAAGAAATATATGAAGATTCCACAGTTTACTTGAAATGATCAAGAAAAAAAAAATAATCATGGGTTTTATTTCGTCGAATAGAAATAAGAAAACAAAGAAAAGACAAAAAAAAGTACATGCATAAGTGAAAGATAGTGACGGTGACTGAACGAAAGGGGTCGCTGTTGAACAGTTATATATCATTTTACTATTTGTATAATAGACTATAGATTTATGAGATAATTAAAATTTATTATTATCTTTTCATTTTAAAGATATTCATTTCATAATTAATTATTTAAATAAATAGATATATGAAAATCAATAGAATTAAATACAAAATTAAATTTTACAATCAATTATCACTAGCTTTTATAACAACAAGATTTAATAGAAGTTTAAAATAAAAGAAAAAAATCGAATGATATTTTATAATGGAACAAAATTTTTCTATTTGCCAAAAAATATCTAAATGATTTTTATTATAAATACAAATTGGCTTACAAATATTATCCACGTTTCGTGATTTATTTAAAACGATCTAGTGAATACAATTTTAAAAAAAATTTTATAATATTATTAAGTTAACTCTTCTTTCATTTTTAAAATTTGAGTATAAGATCATATCATCAATGTATGACAAACTGTTAATAAGCTACTCAGATAAACCAACACGAAATTCATAATTCGTTGAAAAATTTAGTTCCAGCAATTTGACAATCCAAAATGGTGAAACCTAATTAGCGTATTGTTCAATAATAAATTTGATAATCAGAATTGTTAAGACTTCTTAAGAACATTATCGATAATTAATGACTGAAGGGAATAACAGAATTAATATGTTTTCTTAAATAATAGTAAATTAATTTAAAAAATACTTAAAAAATTCAAAATCATAATTGTTTGAATCAGTGAACTAGTCATAAAACAAATTAGAAAGATAACATGCGATTTAGCATTAAATGTATATGAGTGAATTGCAACTTTATTGTACCGTTTGTAGTTCCATATGTAAAACTTTAATAACTCCGGTTCCTATTGACTAATCTTTATGAAAATTTCAGAGTATGCTTCTGTAGTTGATGCTCACTACCACACAAAAAAATCACGAATTTATCATTAGCCTATCCTGAGATATTTAATACACAAGTTTAAAATGACTGACTTTTACTGTCACCTATTCACACAAAATGATCTATGATTGACTCATTTCCTATCATTTGAATTTTCACACTTGTTGACACTTATAGTAGGCAGTATGTACGTGACGAATATAAGACTGGCTCGTTCTTTCATCAAAGTTTATACTTATTTTTTTTCCGAAATATCAGATGTTCTGCTAGTAGTCAATATGTGTCACACGAGATTTAAAAATGACTTTACTATATAACAACGCATTCAAAATTTCTCGGGCACGTTTTAAATTAAAGGTTATCAATGGGGAACAAAACCGCCAAAGACAATGCAAACGTTTCACTTATTCTTGTTAAGAAAGGAATATCGAATAGAATCTGAAAATCTAGTTGTTACACTAAATGTCACACGAGATTTTATATTTTGTTTATCCTACAAACTCCTGTAAATTAAGGCAGATTGAGCTGAAATTTTTATTATTTTATCTACTAGTCGTAGTCAACCATTGTTGAAAATATCGCTATTAGAAAACATATCTTTCATATCAAAGAGCAGACAAATAGTGTAAAAATGTCACACGAGATTTTTTGCTGAACCGTCACACGAGATTCTTGGGAGACAATTAGTTTAGATTTTTATGTATATCATTAGCACATAACTAAGACTGAAGGACATACATAACATGTCACTTGATTTTCTATTTAAGTAGCTATCATAACGTATGCTAGTACACTATAATTTATTTCTTAGGATTCATACATATTAACTCAGTGATTGTATATAAAGAATAGTGCACTAGGAGAGTTGTGTGATTGCGCTTCATTGAATTGGACTCTGAATGATGTTCGAGTGATATGAGCTAAGTAGTTTCTGTATATAAACTGAAGAATTTTCAACGCATTCTGCGAAACTCTAACATTTAAGCCATTTTTCGACCCAACAGCAGTACAGTAATTCAAAGCATTTTTCAATGTTTCTCGTATATCAGAGCTATACTAAATGTGGTAGTCGGGAAAATTTATACTTTTTCTCCTCTTATATAGTACAACCAAAAACAGCACTGATCGAGTTCGAAATCGAAAATTTTTTTTCATCCGTTTTTTTCCTCAAAACGGTACAATAAAGTTGCAATTCACTCATATATATAATACCAGTAAAGTATTTCAACTGAAGTTTGTTATTAAATTCTATTTGTTCTTTATATCGATGGATATTGTGATATATGAATAGATTGATAATTGATATTTGATTCAATTCATTTTATTTTTGAAAAATAAAAATCGAAAAAAACATTCATGTTATTATCATATGGAACATAAGTTTAATGTAGTTCGGATTTGAAAGATGAAGTTTTTTTTTCAATTACTAAAATTAAAACAAAGTCAAACAGAACTTTATATGGTTCTTAAAAGTTTTAGACAAAAAAAAATGTGTTAATTTATTTTTCGTACAAATTTTCTAAAGAGTATGATGTTTCGAAGTATGTTCTAAATGTTTTGAATAAAACATTAGATAGTAAAATAAGCAATTTATGAACTCTTCGTGAAAACTTTAAAAGATAGATATTTTGAATGAGAAATCAAATAATTCATAATAACTTTTGAATCGAAAATAGAATTCTGACGAACGAACTTGAAAGATTTCAAGATTGATCATTCTTTCGTTGATACATTTTCACACTTGTGTTTATCTTAAACATTTTGAAAAGACTTTAAGCTCTTAGCTTATTGGTACGGGGGATATTGCATTTTTCTGGTATCTTTAGGTCAGTTCTGTATTTTCACCTCTAGAAAAATCATTTTTGAAAAACCAATTGAAATTTTGCATTGATACAAACCTTAATGAGAATAATTTGTTGTGAAGGTTTTAGGCTTTTTTTTTGTTGTTCGTATCTTAACCTACAGTTATAGTAAAAGTATGTCCTTGACCTTGCTGATATATACCGACAAATTTGATGTTTTTATTTCAAGATACGAGTGAATTGAAACTCCTGAAGCTTTTATAATAAATTGTTCTTGTTAAAATTTATCTTTGTGTACAGTATCAAGTTGAAATTTGAAAATCGATTTTTCTTATGTGAAAACACGGCATTATCGTAAAAATACAGTATCTTTCTAGCAATAAGCTAAGAGCGCAAACTCTTTTTAGGATATTTATAGCCCCATTAGAGTCTTCTACATAATCCAAATTGAAAAGCGATTAACTCTTTTTTGAAGTCTAAGTGCAAGAATTATGTTCGCCAATAACTATAATGACACATTATATATTCATTGAGTTTTTATAATCGTACCATAGATCAAAATTGCGAACAGAATAAGATTTATTATACAACAATCGTAAAGAGCCCCGCTATCCAGTAAAAAGTGCAGAAACTTCAATCCTTTTTGTCTGATATTTTGACTACAAATAGGGCTCGATAATCTCTGATCGCAAGCAGCAATCGGACAAGGATTTATGCGGAAAGCACTGGGTTGTTCTGTAGAGCAGGGTACAGACTAGGGAAAATTTCAAGGTAAATGGTTAAAATTAACCAAAGATATCGATCATCATGTGCAGATTACACAAAGAATACTTCATAAGTTAGGTAAACTAAAATTATTTGATATGGAATTTGTATTAGTGATAGAGACAGTGCTGAGCCGTTCTAACATCATTCGATGTTGAGATATCCTTGTCTGCATCTCCGCATGAAGATTGATCAAGTCTTTGCGATCAGATTTCAAAAGGCTCTATTTGTGGTCAAATCATAAAACTAAACGATTAAAGTTTAGGTACTTTTCACAGTGAACAACAACGTGGACACTAGCCGAAAAAAATGAAAGTGACCTTTTTTTTGCGATTTGAATAGTAATTTATATACTTTGATTAACGACCAGTTTTTTGATAAAAAAAGAATTTTTTCTTAGTTGCTGGACAATCAATCATATATATATATAATTTAAAACTAGGACTTCTACTCTATCGATTTATAAGAAAAGTTTTCGTTCTGAAAGAATAATTATTCGTTTCCCCAAAAAGCCGTCTTCAGTTTAAGTTGACCGTTCCTTTTTTTCTACTAATCTGATATTGATAAAGCGTCTAGAGAATGTTCTTCTATATCTGTGACATACACTCAATTAACATCAAGATACGTAAATGCTTCTGAACTGAGATACCAGTTTTCTTAAAAATCTTGCTTTCCAAAGGTTTTTCATGATTTCTTTGAAGCATTTCGAAAGAAACACTCCATCGCTTGATGTACTATCTGTCAATTTTTTCACGAGAGTTTATGATAAGGACCTCGTTCAGGGATTTTTCATCAATTTTATTTTTGAGTACAATAAGATAATATTTCTATTTAAAAAAATTCATTTTTGACAGAAAATAAATCATGCTCATTGTAGTTTTGATGTTGGTAGCAGAACTTTTAGCAACCATTGTATTTCATTCTACACAATACATGATATAAATAAATCCACTCGAAATTTCTTTTTCAAGATTAAAATATCGTTAATGATTCGTTTTCATATTTATTTTCCTTGAAATTTCATTAATTAATAGTACAATGATTTTATCTTGTCAATAACTGTATCATCGATTTCAAT